ATATATATATATATATATATATATATATATATATATATATATATATATATACACATATATATGAAATAGAATCCAGTAGAATCCAGCCTAACTAAACTAAATACAGATGAAGCTGATAAAATAAGACACCAAGTTACCAACATCCTATGCACAAGCAAACCACCCAAAAGCAACTTGCAGAAAAATGAAATTAAAGCGCTACAAACCCTGAAAAGAGATAGCAGCATAATCATCCTCCCAGCAGACAAAGGGAATGCCACTGTAGTAATGGACAGAAAAGACTACGAAACAAAATTGACAGACCTACTCCAAGACTCCACATACAAACCCATAAACACAGACCCAACCACATATCTGGAAAAATTAACCAAGAAGAAAATTATAACCAACCACATGAGCAAAGAGATCCAACAGATGATCATCCCAAGAGAAAAATCTTCCAGATGCCCCAAACTATACGGCCTCCCAAAAATACACAAAGAAGGCATACCTCTCAGACCCATAGTCAGCTCCAGAGGAGCACCACTACAAAACCTAGCTAAACACTTAGCAAAACAGCTACAGACCCATGCTGAAACAGCAGCTTCACATGTACAAAACTCATACCACTTCTTGGAAATGATCAAAGATCTACATGTGGAGCAAGAAGATCTGCTTGTAAGTTTCGACGTGGTTTCACTATTCACTCAAGTCCCGATAAAAGAGACCCTTGAAATCATCAAAAATAAATACCAACCAGCTAAACACCTCATGGAACTAACAGAACACTGCTTAACCAACACATATTTCATATACAAAGGACAAAGATACAAACAAATTGAAGGAGCCCCTATGGGATCACCACTGTCACCCGTCATTGCAAACCTGTTCATGGAAGAATTCGAATCCAGAGCCCTGGCCAATGCCACCCACAAACCCAAACTATGGTTAAGATACATCGATGACACATTTGTGATTTCGCCCCATGGAAAAGAAAACCTAAACAATTTCCTAACACACCTAAACAGCACACACCCCAAAATCAAGTTCACCATGGAAACGGAAACAAACAAACAACTACCATTCCTAGATGTACTAATCTACAAAAAAACAGATGGCACACTAGGACACACCGTATACCAGAAGAAAACACACACTAACCGCTACCTCAACGCCCAATCCCACCACCACCCAGCACAGATAAACTCTGTGGCTAAAACACTAATTACCAGAACCAAACGCCTGGCAGACAAGACACACATTAAGACTGAACTATGCACCCTGACTAAAGTACTGACAGCCAACGGCTTCCACAAAAGCAAAATCACCAGCTTGATCCACAAAAACACATTGCAACATATTAGAAACCCAGAAGATGAACAGACCTATGGAACAGCTGTCCTGCCCTACATAAGAGGTACTACAGACAAAATTAGTAAGGTACTACACAGACATCACATCAGGACTGCCTTCAAAACAGACAGAAAAATAGCAGCCATCCTTAGCAACCCCAAAGATAAAATTGACCTGGAAAACCAAGGCATATACGAAGTACCCTGTGCATCATGCCCAGCCACATACATTGGACAGACCAATAGAAGAATAAGTACCCGCCTGGATGAACACAAAAATGCAGTCAAAAAGCTGGAACACACTTCCTCACTAGTCCAACACATGGAAGCCACAGGTCATAGCATCAACTTCAATGGCACCAAAACCCTGGCCACTATGGAAAACCCTAGCCACAGAGTCATCAGAGAAGCCATAGAGATTGAAAAAAGACCAGAAAGCATGAATAGAAGAGATGATTCCACCAGGCTGTCAATCATTTGGAAGCCTGCACTCACAAACAAAAAAATATCCACACCACAAGCCAGGCAAACACCTGGGCACAAACAGATCCCCCCTGATACCTCCAGCTCAAACACACCCCAACCAGGCACCCAGATGAAACCCAGCTTCCTAACTAATGATAGCCGTCCATTTACCCGAAGCCAAGCTGCACTAAAGGCCTCCAATAAAGTAACACAATGCTGCCAGTCAATCAAGATACAAAAAGAGCCAAAAAACAGACAGAAGATATTAGAGACACCAATCAAGCAGAACACAGCAAACTCCGAGACCAATAAACACAGACCAAGACTCCCAACCAATCAGGATGAAGAAAAAACCATTCTGGCACAGCAATAG